CCATGCATTAAATCTTCTAAATTGTTGACATATAATAATATAGATTGAAAATTACCCTTCAAGTAGGTAATCACTGTTGTACAGTATAGGTGTCAAGTCTTATGTGCCCAACAAACTTGTCATTGAGTTGGTMAATATAATAGATGTATTTAATTTGAATTGAACGATAAAATATCATTGTTTACAATAAAAAACGATTTTAAGAKGAGAAAGATAACTTTTTGGTTACCATAGTCACCAAAGCACATACTAACCGATTTTCTACCAGAAACTACTTTCTAAATTGATGGCATTTTCTCTACTAGAAAAATGTCTTCAGACACAAAAAAATAAATGAAAAACATATAAGTACATCAGTATATCAATATATTAAATTACATTCTAATTGTAAAATTAATTATCAATACATTAATTGCTCAGCTTATCTAAGGGTAAAATATTTAAATTGTCTATGAAAAGCTAAACAAGTTATAAAATTTTTAGAAATGCTAATACAATTATTTTACGAAAATATAAAGTATAATATTATATGATTAGGATTTGAATTTCCAAAAAAAAAAAATCAATTTGTCTGCTGCTTAAATATTTCAGTTACTAAGGACACATGATTGGTATAAAAGGTTAAATAACTAGTCAACATTTTTATTTAGATGGGTTAACATTTTCAAAATGAGCATTTGATTAAAAATTATTTGTAGTTGAAAGGGATTATCCCCATTTAAATCATTGAATAATATGATGATTTTTAGTACGTTTACTCCAAGAGTATTCTCAAAAATTCTAAGTACCAGAATTTGAATTATAACATTCTTGAAAGATAAATGAGTATCGTCGGAAACCGCCCGGAATTTAATAATGTGTTACATTATATTATAAGAACACTGATACTATTTACAAATTAAATAGTATTTTTGTTGAATTGAATTACTTACTCGATATAATTGTTACGTTGTATCCGTCACATCAACCTGTAGATACATCTTGGATACTCACCTTTGATTATTTTTTTGTAATAGGTACACTCGCCAATTTAGGGCTGTCCCAAGTTTTTTCGCAACCAACCGCAAATTAATGTGGGGGTGGGCTTACAACCACCATACATCGATATGATAAACAAAATAGGTACTCAATGTATTACTTATTCAATAACTGCTTAGGGATGAATTTCCAAATACGAGTAAACTAAAAATACAATTTTTCCATATTTGATAATTATAAATGTTCATACTCACACATACTCTCTCACTACTCATACATATAAAAATATCGTCTGCACCGTTGCCTACTATACCAAATCGAGCTTTGTTATCGCAATCGAGCCGCAATAATATAACATACCTACATTACCTATAAGAGTAGTAGATAAAACACGGTGAACGCTCTTCATTTTTAATTATTATTATATATTTAGACTTTAAGGCAGCCACCTTTTAAATTTTCTGAAAATGGGGCCCGAGACATAATGGTTCCGTGGCCCTTCCCTACCCCTCCCGATCGGCCCAGTGGYGAGGTTTGTTTTAAATTATATTTTTAATAGCATAAATACCTAATATTTTTTCGTTATTGTTGTTATTAATATTTTGTAATGTGTGTATGTTTGTGTATACAGGGGCGATTTACGACAGATCAAATCGATTATTACGGAAAAGCGTGCAATGCCAGCGAAGGTAAAAACCGTTTCGTCGTTGACATTGTTATATTCGATTACTTACGTTCCCGAATGCATTTCCTGTGAGGGAAACAAATCATAATTATATAAGAAAAATAACCTCATATACAAAATCCGAAAATCGGATCCATTTGTCGTTTACGACAATACGATGTTATTATCGTTATTGTAATATAAAATATTTTTATAGATACTTGTGGGTAGTGGGTAATTAGCATATTATTTATTGTATATTATAGTATTATATAGCTGTCTCTGGTCGGCGTTATAAAATCGACCAAACGTCCGGTTAGTCAACTAACGCCAAGACAATATTATACTATGGTGATACACGACACTTACGCGTTGATATCGTAGATATCGGACGTCTTCAGCGGCGTTAATAATAATAATATGCAGGACGTTCATAATAGATATCACTCATCGTCGCGAATCACTATTGATCACTGTGGTTGAGCATGTCTGTGTACAAAGTGGTTTTTTCTTATCAAACATTCATTATCTCGACTCTTGTGCACAATTTAATTTACGTTAGGTAAATCGAAACGATATTGTTAGGTTTGAGTGGTTTGATCTACTGATGTGGTATTTAATGAGAGTCTTGAAGAATAACTAGGTAACACCGAAATTGCTTGTTGAATTCAGGTTATTATTAATCACGATTATAGATTGACAATATTTYCTCGTAATTTTTAACAACCCAGAACAAATGTATACAACGATACTATGAGATTTCAAAAAAATATTTATATTTATGATTCATTATGATGATCTTAGACTCTGATCTTTATAGCATAAGAAAATGTATTTTACATAATATGACAAACGACTGTACAATATATTTTTGGTAACACATTTTATTGATAGTATAATAGACAGACTTTTAAAAGTTCCTTTYGCGAAAAGTGATATGTGACTGCAGCGCTTCCAGTGATTATGATGTATGTTAAGTTATTAAAACAATATTAACATACTTCGTGGACTTATTGACTTATTTTTTAAATACCATCTGTGTCATGATATTTGTAGTAGGAAAAATAAAACTACATGCAAAATACTTGCATTTTACCATTATAAAAATAAATCCTTTCTTTAGTAACAGTTATCGAAAAAATGAGAACCACTGYTTACAGGCGAATAAACTACTGAAAGCTCTGCAGTCACGCACCAATTCTTGTGAACACTACTACTATACAGTGTGATCCATTTAATTGGGTGCATTAATTATCTCGAAAAGCATTAACTTTTTTAAAATTTTTTTCTTAACTTTTAGGTTTAT